ATTATCTCATCCTGTGGTTCCTTCTTCTACTCCCACTCCCACACAAACAAATTCTACGAGACAAGAAACAAATGTTGAAAGGAGGGGTTCAAGAGAAAGGAAAGAGAATCTAAGCACACATCAGAGGTGTGGGAATATTTCATGAGATTGCTAACATAAGAAACTAATAGAGTGCACTTAACAGCTTGCGAGTATTGTCATACTACTTATAAGGTTGATCCAAACCGCCATGGGACAAATTCTTTGCTAAGACATATCCCAAAGTGTTCAAAGAATCCATATAAGACCACTACAGATAAAAAACAATCTGTTGACTCTTTTGTCGGGTAGGACAACTGGGCAAGGAAAATCTTTGGTTTCACATGTATATGATGAGAAGCAATGTAGAAGAGCTTTGGCTGAATTTATTATTTGTGATGAACAACCATTCAGAATTCTGGAGAAGCCTGTATTTAGGAAATTGTTAAATGAGTTTGAACTTCGCTTTCCAATCCCTTCAAGAACAACAATTGGAAGAGATGTGTGGCAATTATACATTGGAGAAGTTAAAATATTGAAGAAATTCTTAAAACAAAGTGCAAAATGTGTCTGTCTCACCACAGATTTGCTGGACATCAAATCAGAATTTTAACCGCCTATGCTTGATAGCACATTTTATTGATGATGAATGGAAGCTTCACAAAAGGATTCTAAATTTTGTTATGATTAAAAATCATAGAGGTGATACCACAGGGAGGACCATTGAGCAGTGCTTGTTGGATTGGAAGATTGAGAAAGTGTTCACCATAACTGTGGATAATGCCTCAGCTTTGTGATATCTTAAAATGTGTTTAAGGAGTTAGAAGGGCTTGCTTTGTGATGGTGATTATTTACAATTAAGGTGTTGTTCACACATCTTAAATTTGGTGGTTGATGAAGGTATTAAAGAAATGAAAGACAGCTTTGAAGCCATTCGAAGTGCTGTTAGATATGTTCGTTCTTCTCCTTCATGGTTGTTAAGATTCAAAACTTGGGCTGACACTGAAAAAATAGACACCAAAAGCCTTGTGTGCCTTAATGTAACCACCCGGTGGAATTCAACATACCTAATGTTAAAAGCTGCAATGAAAGTTCAAAAAGTATTTGAGCAAATGCGTGATGAAGATGACGATTATATTTCATATTTCAGCTCAAACACAAGCTCTAGGCATGATGCTTCTAGTTCTGCTAGGCATGAGCGGGATAACTTTACTGGTCTTGTTATTGATGATTGGAATAATGCTTGAATCTTCATCAAGTTCTTAAAGGTCTTCTATGAGATAACATTGAAATTTTCAAGATCCCTTTCTATATCATCAAATGAATGTTTCCACCAGATTGCTCGTGTTCAGAAAATGCTGCAAAGGAATATCATGAATAATGCTAATAACTTCTTGAGAGAAATGAGCACTAGCATGCAAGTGAAGTATGACAAGTATTGGGGTCAAGCAGACAATATGAATCCTTTGCTTTTTGTGGTTGTCATTTTGGACCCTTGATATAAACTAGTATATGTGAATCATATATTTGATATTCTTTACACTGATCTTGAAATATGTTTAATTATGAAGGAGAGGGTTAAAGATTGTTTGTATCGGTTGTTTAATGAGTATTTTGCTGGGGTTTCTGTTGAATCAAGGGCTATCTCCACAAGTATATCAGGTGCAACTTTGTTGCCTTCTTTTGATGATGATGATGGTGGTGGTGAAGAGGATTTAGGTCATAAGTGGTTGGAATCTATGAAACAGAGAACCTCAACAGATCCTCAAACTGAGTTAGATAGATATATAGCAATTGACTCGAGAGATGAAATCCCTTCTGCAACTGAGTTTGACATATTGTTATGGTGGAAAGCTAAGTCAGAAAAATATAGAATTCTCTCTCACATGGCACGAGATGTATTGGCTATACCAGTTTCTACGGTCGCTTTTGAGTCTGCCTTTAGCACTAGAGGACGTGTGGTTGCTCAGTAGGAGCTCTTTATCTTCTAAAATGACAAAAGAACTAATTTGTAGCCAAGATTGGCTACGACCTGGGCAATCAATGTTTGAATTTGTTGAAAAGCTTCGCGATTTTGATAATTTTGATGAGACAGAAAATATCCTTCAACTTGCTAGTAATCCTTTTTTTTCTTGCCTGAACCTCTAACTTATATATATATATATATATATATATATATCTCTCTATTATATTACTTCATAATTTGTAATGTAATTGTTTTTTGATTTTTTTTCCCTAGATGCTACTACACATGGAGGGGATAATTGAATGGCTATTGGTGATTGAATGGTCATTTTATAAGCATGACTAGCTATGTTGGTAAGGTGCATCTATTCATTCTTTAAAATTTAGAATTACATTTTTTTTAATTGTTTTGTTTCTAATATGTTAAAGTTATAATTATTTTTATTTGTATTTTTTTAGGTGTTCCATCTTTTTGTGGAAATTGTGGAGAGTGATGCTGTTTGAACTTCAAAGCTTCAATTATAATATTGGCATTGTCTTGTTTTAAATGGATTATTGATGTTATTTAATTGGATAATTGTTAAGATTTGTTTTGGATGATTTCTGGATTATTTCACTTCTTTTGGATGATTTATGGATGATTTCTGGATTATTTCACTTGTTCTGGATGATTTATGGATGATTTCATTTATTTTGGATGATTTATGGATGATTTTAATGTGTTAAAATGTAGAATTATAAAATGTAATTTTTAGGTGTGTATAGAATTTTTTTTTCCCCTTGTGACATGAGGGCAGGGCATCATTCTTTGGGCAATGAAGCCCGCCCTACCCAGCCCTGCCCATACCCTATCCAAAATGATTAGGACATCTATAGACAGGGCCGTTACAGCCCCCTCTTACTTCAGGCAGGGACCAACCCTACCCATCTGCACCCCTATGCCCAACTATTAACAGAAAAAAATTATAATAAAAAATTGAAATTCAAGGAGATTTGGCCAATAAAGGTTGACGAAGAAGCAATTATCATCACCCACCCTTGTCGCTCTCATTCATCTGTTTTTCACGATTTCATGCCACTCGCTCAAGATATATGTAGGCCATTTTTTTTTTTAAATTGTTATTAAAATACAATTATATATATTTATATGCTCATGCATTCGGTAGATTTGAACCGGTGACCTTTTTATTTAGAGGAGAATTTACATGTCAGTTATGACACCATGTTATTAACAATATATAAAGGCTAATTATGTAGAATTTGGAAAAAAAAAATTTAGAGAAAGAAAATTCCTGTACTAACTGTTTTGTGTACGTATAATGCTTATGATATGAATAGAGAGGCCATGGGTGTGAGGGACAGATGTAGAGAGGCCATGGTTATGAAGGTACAGATGAAGTGTGGAAATACACTAACTTCAATATTAAATATAAGAGTTATTAGACAAGATGTTTGCTTTGATTTTAAATATAAGACAAGATACCGTTTTATTTGTCAAATTTATAATTTTTTTTAAAACTCTATCAAGGGATATGCAGATGATTAGAAATATTATTCTAAAAAAATCAACACTTATTTCTTATAAATAATTAATTTAATTTTTAATATATATAAAATAAGTTATCTAACTCTTAATACAAATGGAGTATTTTGTTAGCATTTGGATAAGGGGTGTATGCCGTGAGAAATATTATATTATTACAAATACTTATGTGACTCCAATTTTTTCAAGGCTAACCTTAAGAACCTAAAATTTGAACCTATTTATAGTCGTATGATATTTTAAAAGGATAATATTTAAGTTAAATTTTTTGTATTTATCATCGTGTTAAGTTTTTTAATCACAATTGGTTATGTGTCATATTTTTTAAATATGATCATTTAATTATAAACATATATGAGAAAAATAAAACATATGACCACGTGTGATTGAAAATCTTGATATAATATATATAAAAAACTTGACCTAAATATTTTTTATCTAGAAATTTTCTTACCATCATTAAATCTACATGCCAAATAAAGATTCACCGGTGATTCTATTGATTATTTTTTTCACGCACTAAACCTACTCCTAAAGCTTAGTTTTAATTGGCACTTTCTAACCCAATGACACCAAACATTTTTTTTGAGTTACTCTTAAGCGTTGAGTTCAAATTCTCTAGATCTAAAGCCCACACAATGGATGGTAACAAAAATTTAGTTACGACTCCTTTCCAACTCTCGTTCTCATTCCATTTTATATTCTGATTTTTTTGAAAAAAAAAAACTTTCAATTTCATTTTGGGCTCTCAAAACTTTTTTTTTAAAAAAAAATTCTTCTAAGCCTTCAGAATAATTTAAGTTTTAAATTCTTTCATTTTACTTTGTCTGATGATAGATACAAGAGTTAGATGATCCACTAATTTGCAAAGATAAAAAAAATTAGTTAAGTTATTAGTAAAAAAAATGTATGTTGGTATTTCTAAAATGTCCAATTAAAAACTACATGAAATCTAAGGTACTAGAGTTTATTAAAAAATTATAAATTTAGGAGTTTTACATTTAAAATTAAAAGCAAATGTTTTTGGGAGGTCAAAATGCGAAAGGATGAGTTACTACTAATAGTATTGACAGTGAATGCCTTGAGCTCAATCAAAAAATAAAAACAAATATTTTCGCGTGGTAAGGTCAAATGGAGAATCCAATGGCTCTTACCCGCGCAGAAGCGGGGCTCCAAAGCGCCAACCCGATAAAATAGCTGTTAAAGCGCCAATTTAAATTTGATTTCGTTAGTCTTTTTTCTGAGTCTTCCTTCTTCTTCCCCCTGAAATGCGATCTCGCTTCCTCAATATCGACTACTTCAGTCTCGCTCCATCCGAATCCAGAGAAACCCTAACCTTCCTCCATCTCCCTGTCCCTTGCCTCTCATTTCCTCCTCCCTCCACCGTTCAAGACCACCTCCGCTTCCATTCGACCCTCCATGCTTCCCTTCACATCGAGGGACTTTCGATTGATGGTGCTCTCTCCAAGTTTCTGTCCGGCGTACTTCCTCACAGAATCGATGTTGATTTCCAATACTTTGAGGCAGACATGCCTTCCAATCACAATTGTTTATCATTATCCAGCTTTGGACTTGCTCAAGCTCCGATTTCTCAGGTAAGAAACTGATGCTTCTCTTTATCATATTTCCACATTTTATATCATCTTTTCCGTTTGGAAGACCGGTGTTGATGGATTCTCGTGCTTTTTGATGTCGGAAAGTTTCATATGTGGAAAAATGAGTTTCGGTTTTGTTTTAGTTGAAATAGATTTACGTGTTCTGTTATTATTGGATTACTCGTTAATTTCGAATTTTTACTGTTAAATAAAACCTGGTAAGGTATATCCTGAATAATGCTTTTTGGTAATTTTGATTCCGCCGGCGCAGGAACTGGTGGCTGTATTCGAAGAGAATGCGATGGAGAACTGCCGAATTTTGGATTCTGGAGCTGATATTGGATTCTTAAACGTACAGGACTTACCTTCAAAGTGCTGGTGTTGTTTTACGTTCTTTGCCCCTGCATGTTGCTTTCCTGAAATTTTAGTGAATTTGTTCTCAGGAGAGGAAAAGCACTGCTCTTATTGAAAAGAATGAAGGCATATGTGATATGACTCAATTTGAAACGCCTGAGCTGGATGTACTTCTGGTGAGATAGATATATGGAGCACCTGACTACCTGAGTATCTATCTTGTTATTGAATCTTTAAATTGACCATTTTCCTTTGTGTATTAAAGGGAAGTACCTGCTTTCCTGAGGAGGTGGTGATGCAAATACTGGATGAAACATCGGAGAATGACAATAATCTGGTAAATGCTTTATAACGCATCATAACTTATAAGAACCAAATGTTAATGCAATATGTATTTAAATTGAATGTATCATTCCGAATTTAGTTCCTTTGAATTATATTATTGAAAAATTCTATGAAGTTTCTTCAGTGCTACAGGTAAATGACGTCAGAGATATTTTCTTATTCTTATGAGATGCATGATGTAGATGATATATTACTGGACAGATGGTGTTCTCGGTAGTTTCTATATTTTAGGATTTTTAGCAATGCAATCTTCTTCAATACAAACGGGTTCACTAGCATACATTATTTATTGGAACTCCATAACCTAACCTTGGAACTGTTCTGCATGGTGGTGCGAACAATTCAATGCTAGGTTATGGAGTCGCAACTGCATTTCTGGAATAACGATAAAAACAATCAATTCCTTTTGGTTTTATATGGCATTTGAAGCATGTAAATAATTTATCAGCCTTTTTTCTGTTTGTGTATCCTTTTTCGAAGTCAACAGCTGAATCGGAAGCAGTTACAAATAACAAGCCTTATCCCACTAGGTGGGGTCGGCTACATGAATCACACGACGCCATCGTGCTCTGTCAACAACCCAATCCTTAGATATGTTGTTGATTAGGAGGTCTCGTTCAATGACCTCATTCAGCGTTCTTCTCGGTCTTCCCCTGCCTCTTTTTATGGGACTCCATCTTGTTTGATCCACCCTCCTCACCGGGGCCTCCAAAGGCCTTCTCTGCACATGTCCAAACCATCTTAAGCGATTTTCAACCATTTTCTCTTGGATAGGTGCCACACCGACTCTTGTCCTGATCTTTTCATTTCGAATCCTATCTTTTCTTGTATGACCACACATCCATCTCAACATCCTCATTTCTGCTACTCCGACTTTGTGCTCTTGTTTTCCCTTTATTGCCCAACATTCACTACCATACATCATAGCTGGTCTTATAGCAGTCCGATAAAATTTTCCTTTAAGTTTCTCAGGTACCTTCTTATCGCAAATAACTCCGGTAGCTTTCCTCCACTTTAACCAGCCAGCTTGTATTCTATGAGAAATGTCTCCATCAATTTCCCATCCTCCTGTATAATGGATCCTAGGTATTTAAACTTTGATACTTGAGGAATAATTTGCTCTCCCATCCTCACCTCCAAATCCCTATTACCTTGCCTCCCTCCAAAATCACAATGCATATATTCTGTTTTGTTTCTGCTCAAACGGAAACCTTTCGACTCCAAAGTCCTTCTCCATAACTCCAAACTAGTGTTAATCTCTTCTTTTGATTCCGCCATAAGAACTATATCATCCGCGAAGAGCATGGACTTAGGGATTCTTTCTTGAACAGGTTTAGTTAGAACATCCAGAACAATGTTGAACAAGTACGGACTCAGAGAGGATCCCTGATGTAGGCCAATCTTAATAGGGAAGTCCTTTGTCTCCCCCCCAGGCGTCCTTACACTGGTAGTTACCGCCTCATACATATCTTGTATGACTTTGATATACGCAACCCGTACACCTTTCTTTTCCAAAGCCTTCCACAATACTTCTCTTGGCACACGATCATAAGCCTTTTCCAGGTCAATAAAAACCATATGTAAATCTCTTCTTTTACTTCTATATCTCTCCATTAACCCCCTTAGTAAATAGATTGCTTCCGATGTGGATCTCCCTGGCATAAATCCAAATTGGTTTTCCGAAATAGAAGTCTCCAACCTCAATCTATATTCCATCACTTTTTCCCACAACTTCATTGTATGACTCATAAGTTTTATCCCCCTGTAGCTTGCACAGTTTTGAATGTCTCCTTTATTCTTGTAAATAGGAACTAAAATGCTTTTCCTCCACTCATCCGGCATATTTTTAGAGCGTAGAATTTCATTAAAAAGCTTGGTTAGCCATACCTCTCCCTCATCGCCCAAACATTTCCAAACTTCAATAGGGATACCATCAGGCCCAACGGCTTTTCCATTGTCTATTTTCTTGAGAGCCGCCTTAACCTCTCCGATACGTATCCTGCGGTAGAAAGCCAAATTCCGATCATCTTTGTTAATTAGCAAGTCCTGCAAGTCCTGAGTCGCATAATTGCTTCCCTCATTAAACAACTTGTAAAAGTAAGCCTCCCATCTGTCCTTAATATCACCATCAGTAACTAACACTTTACCATCTTCATCCTTTACCTGGTCCAGATCTCTCTTTTTCCTCTCCCTTTGCTTCGCGATCTTGTAAATATTTCTTTCTCCCATCTTTGTTCCTAACTCCTGATAAAACCCTTCATAAGCTTTAGTATGTGCTTCGCTCACTGCTCTCTTTGTCTCTTTTTTAGCCAACTGATACTTTTCTTGGTTCTCTACACTATTGCACAAGTGTATGGCCTTAAAACAGACTTTTTTCTGTTTGACTTTCTCTTGCACACTTTTATTCCACCACCAAGTCTCCTTATCTCTTTGACCAGGACCTTTGGATTCTCCCAAAATTGCTTTAGCTACCAAACGAACCCTTGTAGCTATCTCTTCCCACATCATGTTTGCATTTCCCTGCAACTCCCAATTCCCTTCCTTCAAAAGAGTCCTTTTGAATAACTCCCGCTTCTCTCCTTTTAACTGCCACCACTTAATCCTGGGTTTTGCCACTTGATGGTACTTTTGTCTGGTACTCTTAAAACATACATCAAGGATAAGTACTCTATGTTGAGCACTCACCCCGTCTCTTGGAATCACTTTGCAATTAGTACACAATCTTCTGTCCGGATTCTTAACCAAAAAGAAATCAATCTGTGATTTTGAGACACCACTTTTGTACGTGATTAAATGCTCCTCTCGCTTCTTAAAACAAGTGTTGACAATCTTAAGATCGTATGCAAGAGAAAAATCGAGAATAGATTGTCCTCCACTATTAAGCTCCCCAAAACCAAAACCACCATGGGCCCCGCTGAATTGTCCTGCTTCTTTACCAACATGTCCATTAAGGTCCCCACCGATAAAAATTTTTTCTTCGAGTGGTATGCTTTGAACCAAGCCCTCCATATCTTCCCAAAACTTATCTTTAAGGTGTGTCTCTGCCCCAACCTGAGGTGCATAGGCACTAATAATATTGATAGTATCCTTTCCAACAATTACTCTTAGCGATATTATTCTGTCCTCAAACCTTTTAACCTCTACCACGTTCTTTTTCCATGTCCCATCAGCGATGATACCAACCCCATTCCTTGTGCTCACCTTTCCTGTGTACCAAAGTTTATACTCTCCAAGTTCCTTGGCAGCTTCTCCAGTCCATTTGGTTTCTTGGAGGCATAAGATATTAATCCTTCTGTCCCTCATAACTCCTGCTACTTCCATAGATTTCTCATTTAACGTCCCAATATTCCAAGTGCCAAATCTAATCTCAGTCTCATGAACTAACTTCTTTAGCCGCCTCCGTCCAAGAGAGTGCGGTAGCCCTTGCTCATTTAACACTACATCCGGGCGACGATGCAGCGGCTCTAGCTCATTTCTCACTGTACTCGAGCCATACAGCGCGTCACATCTGGGCAACGACCTAGCATTAGCATAATTACTTCGTTGATCCATATTCATGAGATTCGACGGGTTTTTACGTTGGCTGTCGAGGGCCTAACACAACCCTCCTCCTTTATCCGGGCTTGGGACCGGCTATACAACATAGGCGGAGTTAAAATCTTTGATCTGAATCGGAAGCAGTTACATAGAAGGAATTTGGTCATTGAATTAGATGATCCATGCCTATAAAAATCTTTGATTTGAATTGCCAAATTGATGTAGGTTTGGAATCTTGCAGTGCTTCCCTATATAAAGTAGATTTTACAGCTTACCTTTTGCAATTTCTCTTCATAATATTATTATCACCAAGTTTAATATACGAGTCTGTTCTCCTTTCAGGAAATGCTCGAGTCTGGGCTCTCAATGCAATTTCCTTATGAGGTTCTGCATTCAATATCCGTAGTTGAGCATATTAGTTCAGAGTACTTTGGGGTCCAAAATACGTATTCCTCAGATGATTATATGTCTCTTCCAAATCCGCCGAAATCAGGTCAAAGAAAATTTACGATTCTGGAAGTTGATGAGGAAAGTCTGGGAATTTCGACAATCTCATGTATGGAGGAAAACGTGGGTTCATATTTTGATGACATTGGACCTCAACAAATGGATGAAACACTTCCTGTCATTGAGCCCAAGGAGATTTTGGGTGGTATGAACTATAACATTATGAACTTTTTTTCAGATGACTGTCTATCACAGCAGAGTGTAGTATTACCTGACATACTTCACGAAACAGACTTTATTAATATGTTGGAAACCGAAAACTTTCATTGGAATCCTTCCCTGACAGGGAAATCACAGTCAGATATGATTACTTTCCAGGAAATCCTGTTTACTGATGAGAATTCGATTCAGATACTTGAAAGCTTTTTTAACACAAAGTTGATGGATGATCCGGTAACAAGTGAATTTATGTTTCAGAAAGATTTTAATTTCAAGAATCTTGATGAATTGATTATTATTAATGAGATAGCACTAGTGGATGATGTATTCAAGCCACTGCCTGTACCTGCTCTCTCTGATCATGGAAAGATGAGATCTCTGTATGTATTCATTGAAGAAAGGCTTTCCAATTTGAAGACTCAACCCCAATCTGCATCTGACAGTATATACTTGGACTGGGATTTACTGGAAGAAAAAAGAAATTTCAATCTCTATCACTATTTTCAGAACATGTGGGCCAAGAAAGAGCTCAACATCAGAGTCTTTGGGGAAGAATCTTTCAATGACGAAAAATTAGTTTTTGATCTTGTTTCTCTGAGTGATGTCCTGGATGGATGCTGCATAGAACAAAGTGAAAGGTTGCAGAAGTTGCTTTCTGATCGTGCCTATCAGTCTGAGAATCATACCTTATGGGATTCAAGCAATCAATTGGATGGTGGATCTCCCAAGCAAGAAATTGGAGAACAGTTAGCTGAAAGAAATGCTGAGAGGGCTTCATTGTTGTTCAAATCTACATCAGAAGTCAGCCATCTTGATTATTTTTTAAACCCTCAGAAAGCAACTGCAAGGAGGAATTGTAGCTTAGCAGTGGAGTCTAGCGATGCAGATGGTGGTGTCTTAAAGGCTACCTGCACTGACTTTAAGCATACGTGTAGGAACAATACTTTACAATCTCAAGGATGGAACATTGATTTCCACAATGTTCTGTTATCTGATAGCATTCTAGTTTTACTTGGGAATTTTGAAAAATTTTACTGGGCCGTTTTGCAGAGTGAAACAGAACTGAACCAAAACTCATCCATGGATCATTTTCAATTGATTAAACTTCCAAAACACAAGCTTATGGAATTACATGAAAATGGCAAAAATATGGCATTTGTTGTGTTATGTGCAATAAAACAGGCTGCTTGGTACTTGTGTTTCTATGGCCTGCGTCCAGCTAGCTTGTACATAGACGAGTTATGTCAAAGCTTGGACTACTTGAAATTAAGATTTAGCTTCCTCCAATCCTTGATTGAGGATGAAAACAAGAAGATTGGTGACAAAATTACTCTAGCACATCCTGCACTAGCTGTTTTTGACAAAATTTTGCGGTCAAACATCAAACAGGATGGTTTGAAAGTGTTGATTGTGACTGAAGAAGTTTTCTGGTGGTCACTGAAATGTCTTCTTATCTCCATAGGATTATCATTTAATGAACTCCATAATACTCATGCAAATCAGCCATCTGCTTATGACACGGTTGAGGACACCGATTCAAAATTGAAGAACCTTGTGAATTCCAGCTGCTTGATTGTATCATACAAGTAAGTTATGTTTTCAGAATACTTAACATTTATTATGCATGCATGCAAGAAAATACACCATTTCCTTCTCTTGTAGTAGTTAAAGTGACATGGTAATTAAATATTATATTGTTTTCTTATATTAAAAATACAAACTAAAAAGTTATTTATGAACTTCCGTGTCATTCTTATTGTTTGTGCTGAAAATCTTGAATCTAATTTATTCTGCATTGATAAAAATGACTATTTATCTTAGTCAAACAAATATTTAATGCTCGCTATATTATATAGATGATAAATGAAGTTATTTTGATCAAATTAGGTTAATTATAAATTTATTGCGTGAGATGTTGGGAAAACACTTCTAGTAAGTAGAAGAGTGGGTTGTTCCCTGAAAAGGAAAAAAAAAGAAGGAAGGGTGGGTTGTATAATTTGGATAGCTCTGAAAGAAAGACGGTAGTTACCCTTTAACTTATTCTAATAATGAGACCTAATATGCCTCTTTTTTCTTTTCTTTTATTTTTTTTAAAAACTGTTTTATCCCCTTGACCAAGCAATATACCTCTTTCTGGATGACTCTAAGGATTATAGATTGTTTTTATAACTAATTTTTCTTCTCCTTTTGTCTTCAAATCTTGTTCCCAAACTCTTTCCATCCTTTTTAAATTGACATACCTTAAGGTGAAAATCAGTATATCGTCAACATGATCCATCACCCTTTTTGTATCATTGGGGGGGGGGGGGGAAGCCATCGTTAAGGCTTTCTAAACTGCAATTAATGCTAGGCCTCATGGTTTGTTTCCTTGTAATTCTGGGAAATTATTTAGTACTGATAGATCCCTTGTCAATATTAATTTTTTTCATCTTCCAAGCTTTGAAGTTTAGGTGAAAATAATTGAAATCAGAATATTTTTACTTACAATTACTGCTGGAATGCACGCACCCTAATTTCCCTTCTATGAAATCTTCATTTTCCACTTTGACCGGCTATTCTTTAGCACTTCGGTTCTGATTTCCTTGTAGACATCCTATCTACAAACTATAAGCGCTCTTCCACCTTAGTCCGATGGCTTTCAGAAGGCATTGACTGCCTTTTTTAGCAAGTTAAGTCTTGTCAGACCTCAGGCTTTGAAGATGTGGAAATTCACATCTCTTTATGTCTCTAGATGTAAGAGTTCTTTTTGAATTCTTTTTTAATAAGGTGTTCAATAAATGTAATCACCAGCGGAATTGGTCAGGCTTATAATCGGAATGCAAAGCTATTAATTGGTTCACATAAAAGAAAATTTAGAAAAATAATACAACAACAACTATAAACCTTATACCACTAAGTGGGGTCGGTTATATAGATCGGATGACACCATTATGCTCTATCCACAATCAAATCTTTAGATAAGTTGTTAACCAAAAGGTCCCAGTTGATGACCTTATTGAGTGTTCTTCTCGATCTTCTTTTATCCTTTTTTAAAAGACTCCAAACTGTCTGATCTGCTCTTTTCACTGGCACTTCTACTGGCCTTCTCTGCACATGTTCATATCATCTCAAAAGATGTTCAACCATTTTCTTTTTAATAGACGCCATGCCTACTCTTCCTTTGATATTATGATTTTGAATCATATCTTTCTTTGTATGACCACACTTCTACCTTAACATCTTCATTTCTACTACATCAACTTTATGCTTTTGTTTTCCCTTTAGAGCCCAACATTTACTATCATATAACATGGCTGGTTTTATTGTCGTCCAATAGAATTTTTCCTTTAAGCTTATCAAGTATCTTCTTATCATAAATAATTCCAGTAACCTTTCTCCACTTGAAACACATAGCTTGTATTCTATGCGAAATGTTTCCATAATTTTACCATCCTTATGTATAATGGATCCCAGATACTTGAACTTTGCCACTTGAAAAAATAATAAAACAATAAAAAATATTATAGTCCTATACTTAAAAATATGTGTAAGAGACAGAATTTATAGACATGATATCTCTTCAAATGTAGCATAGAAGAAAAACATTGGCAAGAATCCTGGTCCTTGTTCTATGGTTTACTGGCCATCTTTGTTTAATTGTTTTCCTCAACCATCTTTGCTTTAGAAGTTTTGCACGATAAATAACTTGTTTAAAGTATAAGCATTGGTTACCAGGGCTTCAGACGTACATGTTAGCTAGAAATTTTGTCGTCTAGAAAAAGACACAGGTGACTAATGTATTATGGAGCAACAATAACCAAAAAGGAATGTGAATGTGAGGGTGTTTTTTATTGACGTAGATTTCATATTAGCCTGCTTCAATTTAATTTGTCACATGCTTATTGTGAGCGTCTATGCATTATAAATGATATTTTATTTTTGCAATTTTATGCCGTTATAGTAATTTCTCCCTTTAACTGAAGGCATATTTCTCCATTCTTCCCATTCAACAAATTTGGCATTATTTTGGAATATGGAGGTCCATTTGGTTCGTCTAGAATATCTAATCTGTTACCAAACTCTACTGGGTTGCCTCATCTTCACTTTCTCAAGGTGGAGCTGGATGTCCATTCTGCTGTCAAAGCACTTTGTGAGGGCGTTGAAATTCCGCTGCCTGCTGAAATGTCAATGGTAGGTTAATGTTTAACCCTGCGTAGCTTGCTTTGCTACAAATTATCATGTATTGTGCGAAATGGGTTCTCAAACGTCAAACCATTTTGTCAAAATTGTGTAAGTCTACGCTTGAGCATGCATTGCTTACTTTGCCTGAGCTTAAATAGCTAAACATGACCAATAACTTCAAATTTGTGACTAAGTTTTTAGGATACAGTCTATCCATGCTTGATACCAATCAGGAAATCAAATGCACATTTCACCTTTTCATTGGATTAAGCTGTACCAGTTGCTGTTGCTCATAATTTCTTAGTACACAAGTTGTTCATTACTCCTTCCAGTCCCAAATGTAGGAGTTAGATAATTAATTTATACAGATTAAGGAAATCAGTTAAGTTATCTGAAAATTTTTTGTTGGTGCTTTCACTAAAATATCCCTCATTTAATCATTTGCATTAGAAAATACCTTTGTGCAATCAACAGGGACAGTTTGGAAGAAAAATAATGAGATACAAAGGAAATTGAGATCTTGCATCCAGGACTAAATAAGCTCCTGAATTAGCTCTACATTTAGGATTGCAGGGAATATTCAATTTTTAAGCGTATATTAGTAATCTTTTACCCTTAAATGATTATTGTCCTAGGAAGATGGGACCCATAGTATCATCAACCCCAGCAAAAGAATGATGGATCCCAAACTGGAAAAGCTATTGAAGTTTTGTCCTTTGGAGAAAAACTATGGTATAGGGTTTTCAAAGAAGGCAGATAATGTAGAGTGTTCCGTGCCTCCGCTTTCTTCTGGGCAGCCTGAACAAAGTCATAAAAACATGGAGTCTTTACCTGAAACACTTATCATTGTGAATACTCAAAATGTTGATAAAGAAATGATAGCGTCCAGAAGAAGCACCTATCAAGCAATTCTTGCAATGGAGAAACGAGGCATTCAAGTTGTTGAACGTGATTTAGATTTACCAGTGGATGTCATTATCAATTCAGCAATTTGCTTGGTATGGTATGATTATAAAAACATTGGGAAGAAAGCAACTCCAGCAACTGAAGCTTCTTCTACCTTGCCTTTATGTACTCAAAATATTGCAGCAGATATTTTGACACTGATAAGCTTTTCCTTTGATGGCTGCTTTTTGGTAAGTACAATTTTCTTAATATTTAATGTAGCAATATCTAGTCTTTTTTTGGAAAAAACTTTCTACAGTGTACTGTAGCGTCGAGTAGAAGAGCTCAAGAATTATGGACTTGAGGTCTGCTATATGGATTCTCTATGACCTGCTTCAAACATGACTAATGGGGGACTAGCTTCCGCTCAGCCGTTTTGATGCTTCATTCGAATTCCTAGTAAATTTGATGTGGCAAGCTTGTCAACCTAGTCTAAAGCTCATAAAATGGGGAAGAAAGGGATTTCTGTTTTTTAGGATACTTCAGCAGTATTTCTCTAAGTCTACAAAAGGAAAACCTTTCCTTCTACTTCACTAACATGCTATAGCCTGTTTTTCTTATGCAAGTTCTATTGGGTTGGGAAAAGTTGTCATATTTTAGTCCTTTTCATTGGTTGAGTGATAAGTTGGTTTCATACTACTTCCTGAGGCAATTCGGTCATTAATCTTTATGAACTTGATTAAATTCTTTAAATGTATCCAGAGTGCTCCCCTGTTATTTTCATAAACATTCTTGTCGGTGTTATTCATATCAGTACACCTGCCAGGCTAGGTTAGTATGGCATTTTACATGCTTGGAAGATAATTAGCACTTAACACACGGGAGAAGATGCAAGAACTTTGCTGATCATGTTGTAGATGATAAGAAGCAAACAATGGCTCCAAAATAATGGATGAAAATATGATTAACTAATATGCAAGTTGTCATGCAGGTTGTTGTTATTATTATTATCATTATTATTATTTTGCAGTTAATTGATCTCAACTCATTGTTCCCAATTTAGGTTTTTGAGGGAGAAATTAACTTTATTTCAACCATAATGGAATCCTCAGATGGACTTTATGCTGCTTCAGCAAGCCTGGGGATTGATTTGCAGATCTTCTTCTCTTACTCACCAGAGTTCACAAATGAAATTATAATAAGCTGCATCAATTATGCTACCAAGTTGACTAGGGGTCTGTATCCTAAAATGTCTGATTCACTAACATTGGCTGAGTCATTTTTAACTAAATTTCCAACAATAAATCCTTTGGTGGCACATGCTATACTGTCTACAGGGGCCACACTAACCGAGATTCTTGGGTGGTCGCATGAGCACAGGATAAATGTTTTGGAAAGATATCATGTTCCTGAAGAAAGCGTTGCGCTATTTGGCGCTCTCTGCAAATATGGGGAGCGGGAGGATTCAAAGTCCATAATGACAGATTGCTCCTCTTCTGTATCTTCTGGCCCAGATTCAGATAAATATCACTTGAATCAAGTCGATTATGAAAGAAAAAGGAAAAAGCACGCAGAGAGTTCTGAAGAATTCGGACCATTTTCAGATGAATTATTGCAGTTTGAGCCACTACATCAAGAAGCTGATGGTTTCTTGGATTCTTCTAATCTTTCCAAACCTAGTATCCCTGATCAATCAAATTATTCTGGAAGATCCAATGACTCGACAAGGCAAGGGTTCAATATGACCACTCCAATGAAAACCCCAGCCAGAGCATCCCAGCCATCTTGTGATCCTTGGAGCTATAAAGCTCCCCTAATATTGGAGCAGAAACAACAGCCATCTTTTTCTTTTAAAGATGAAGGGTTGATTCCTAATGATACATTGGATACTGCTAGGATGAGCAAAAATTTGACCTGGCAAGGCCTTAATTTTTCCGAGAAGCTGGATGAGGACATTACAGGCGAGGTTGTTGACTTTACTGAGGATCTCCTACTAAATAAAAAATTCTCTTTCATTGCTAACTCGAGGAATTTTCCTGGTGGCGACTTCATGAACTCTCCAGATTTCCTGCCTCAGACAGAGAATAATATTGTGAGAAGATTGTCCTTTGATCAGATGACTCAGCCTGGGTTTAAAGATATCTGGAATTCTTCACATGATACAAGAGGTGAAGTTAACAATAACCCAGAACCAAATTTTGGAATGAAGATCTCTCCTCTTGATGCCAAGTACCGTGGAAAGAATTCTGATGTGGATTTGACTCCGGTATACAAGAGAACCCTACATGGATCACCCTTCCAAGAGGAGATGTCACAATTGGGTGGAAGAACTCCACTTTCACGTGCTCTTCATTCAACTACTCCATTAAAAAACTCACCTTGGACAATAGAATTTATCAACAGAATCAAAGAAAAGAGCAGAATACGTCAAAAAGTATTATCATGTGACAAGTCTGTCTCTTGTTTTGGGTACTCAGGCAGTACATCGGAAGTTGCTACTAGAAGACACCCTCCTCCTCCTCCTCCTCCTCCTCCTCCGCCTGAGTCCTTTGCATATCAAGGAAGTAGAACTGAAAACGCTCCCAAACAGAAGAGACAGAAGCAATGTGCAGAACCTTTGAAGTCAGCCAAGAATCGGAAACATTCTGCCTCATTGCTTCCTACATGGACACCTAATGATAAGAGAGCAACAAAGGTATGTCCACATTCTCTTCTTCATCGTAATGGTCAAGTAAGTGCAAAATTACATCCTCAATTTCATAACTGCAAAACGCCAGTGCAACTAAAATTCTTCATGGTTTGCTTATGTCTGAACTAATGCAATAAACAAGGTCAAAAATAAACAAAGAATCACTGCAGGTGGGAGACTTACATATAATGCAGTGTGGTAGCCTTGGTAGATATGTATAACTATGGGCTAACAGCTAAGTCCTGAGAATTTGAGGATTTCAATTAGTTAAGAAACAAACAATTTCTCCTACCTTTCTGCTGTTATTGATACGGAACAGGAAGGGAAATTAAATCAAACAGTATCGAAAAGCACATTGAAATTTCTTATGAATATTTAAAAAGTATGATATTGGAATTCCTAAATTGATCTCTAAACAAGCAACGCAATTCCCCTTAATCATATTTGGTCAAAACTTAAGAAACACAGAATGTAGAATTGTAAAACTGCCTATGGTATAAGCTTTGATTGTTGGGCAAAAAAAAAAAAAAGCGTTAATTCTCTAATAAATTTGATATAACATGAATTGTGCAACTGTGCAACCAATTATGTTTAATAAAGTAATTCATGTAAAATCGTTAAATTGGTTCTTCATTAACACCTCTAAAAGTAATTCATGTAAAATCGTTAAATTGGTACTGTGCAATTAATTCATTAACACCTCTAAAAGGGATATGAATTCAGATATTATAACGAAATTCTGCGCTCGATAAATGAATTTGTACTCTAGGCCTCGCGGCCCTCATGGTAGTTCTAATAAACGTCAGAATTCACACATTGTTCTGATTAATAATTAGTATTTTAGATTGAAACTTTTCTGCTGATATTTGTCTACACACAAATGTAAATCTCTTCAAGCAGCTATTATTACTTGTTCAAGGCTTGGCGTTTTTTACTGCTAGAAATTGACATTCGGTCAATCGCAGATGCTGACTTTTGCTATGAATGAAAGTCAAGGACAAGCTAAGTTGGTCTGGAACGACGAAACTCAAGGTCAAGCCAAGAAGTTTCGGTATCAGACACAAAAGTCAATCTAGGCTTCGTGTGGAAAATGGAGGTTTTATATTATGCGGAAACGGGTGTACTTTTTGGTGAGTACACGTACAACTACAACATGTAGTTATGTATCCAGAAAAAAAAATGTAGTTATTAGTTATAATGGCCTTTGGCTTTGGCCGACTTAATAAGAAATTTGCCTTCTAAAATTAGTGCTATATTCCGTGGTGCTTTTTTTGGTGGTTGTCTTTTCTCTCCCATAAGAATTCTGGATCATTAAGTTTTAATAGTCTAATTTAAATTTATTGAAATGTTTACATCTTGATAATATTTTTCAATACTACTTTGATCTTTAGTATAAGATAGTAATTTAAATTGAACTACAAACTACATTATATATTAAAGATAAGACGTGGCATTAATTGTTGGTTATCTAGAAGTTATATTAATGGTCCATTTATTAGTATTGAGACAAGACATGAGGGATGGGATAAATAAGATTTAATTTATAAATAGTGTTCAAAGTTATTAAGACATGAGGGATGGGATAAATAAGATTTAATTTATAAATAGTGTTCAAAATTATTAAGTTTTACATTGTACTTAATTTTAGCAAAAAAAAAAAATTGCAATTCAGATTGATTCAACATTTAATATGGTCTGTTTTGGCTTCGAGCTATCACAGTTTGATCTGAGCCTCTATGTTCCTTTTCCCCATTTATTCAAAATATGACCAAAAATTTCAAACTTTTTTAAACAAAAAAAGAATTTGTTCATCTGAATATTTGCCTAGTTGGCCAAACCAGTTCATCGTAGACTGCTTCAAAGTCAGGTCAGGCTACTAACGAGAGTTGGGTCTAGCAGAAGAGACTAGTATCTCACAACGTGGTGAACCAAGGTTCGAATTCCTGCTGGGAGAGGTGCTCATATTTAGTGCACGACAGTACCTCGAATAGGATTGCTTTCAATAGGAGGATACCCGTGCTTTAACAAAAAAAAAAAATCAGGTCAGGCTACTAGAAACTGGCCAAGCCCCGGGTTGAAGTGAAACCGAAGTTGATCTTATTTGGGTACATTAGAATCAAGTTAGGCCTTAAGATTGGTTCATTTTATGCACGGATTCGGTACATGCATGGCAGTGTGAGTTGATTTGGAGTCAATTGAGAGTAAGATGGAAAAACGAACCATTTAATTCCCACGCAACACACGTTGCAAAACACTAAGAAATCCAAATAATAACAAGCTTTTAACTAGCAAGTTTAGATCTAGCAGAAAGGATTAATCCCTTACAACATGATGAATCAAAGTTTGAATCCTTATTAAGAGAGATGCTCACATTTAATATCTAACAATACCTCAAATATGATTGTCTCTAATAAAAGAATATTTGTGTTTAGCAAAAAAAACAAAAACAAGACAGCAAGCCTTTATTCTTCTAAATGGATTTGAGTACGTAGATCCCATAACACCATTGTAATCTATCAATAACTAAATATTTAAATAACTTGTCAATCAAAATGTCCCAATCTATTTCAGGCCCAAAAAAAAAATTGTTAGTCTTATAACGATCTGACAGAACTTTCCTTTAATTGGAAAAAAAAATGCATCAATACCAACAACGTAGCCTGTGAAATTTGATTAAAACAAAGAAAATTGCGGGAAAAAAAACCATGAAAATTGTAAAATTACAAATCAGGATTCGTTACAAGACTTTTATAGGTTTTGACAAAATGTCAAATGACAACAAATTTTTTACAAAAATCTGATTTACAATTTTGCAATTTTCAGTCCCTTTTTTTTAAACAATTTTTCCTCTTAAAACGTTACCTTCAATATAAATTTTAGCAAAAGTAAAAGAACTTGAGGTCAAAACAAAAAGCGAAAGTTTAACAATTTGCTAATAAAAGAAAAGGCACTTTTTTAGAATAAAAATAAGAAAATTTTATGTATAATTTTAGCACACAAAAAATGTATGACTTAAGTTTTTATTGTTAAATTTATACTGGATTTATAAGAGATGAAAAATGTTTTAACCATACACATACAATTTGTTTTTAAAAAAAAAAGGTTAAAGTATAGCCACCTAAAACTAATTCAAATAGTAACATTTCAGGGACAACATCCGAATTAGAATTAATACTATTATTTTCCTTACAATTTAGTCGAATTTTAGTTTTCGTTCCCATAATTTTAAATCGTGGTTTTTTTTTTAATTCCTATAGTCTCTTCCTTCCAAAAATATTAATATCTATAATTTAATGTATTAACATTTCTGTCATCCGAGAAAAACTATAAAGGGAGAAACTTTTCAAGTGAGCAGCGTAGGTCCGTAAGGGAAATGCACAAATATAGTAATTTGCTCAGTCTCTTTTATATAGTAGAGCTTTCAAATATGGTATATCATATTTGTCTTTAATTTGACCAGATTCTTTTTCTGGCCAAATCCAGTTTGACCAAATGATTAATCATTTACTATGTTGTCAATATCAAACTCCAATGTTGGGCGTTTACACAGTTTTTTTTTTGACAAGATATATATCTTTCTATTAAATATAATTATGTTCGAATCATTAAATGTCATCATCTCTTCTAATAAGAATTCAAACATTAATTGATCACGTTACGAGAAATAGTCACTTTCACTGGACTTAACTCCTGCTGATTTGTAACACTTTCATCATGATGGAGTATGACTAGAGGTAATCAAAATCATGGCTAAACAAATCTTGATAGGTGAGAGATTCGTTGACGTTTAAACACCCCCACACACACATCGTAATATTGAAAGTATAATGTATTCAAAAAATGGAATTGAGTGTAAAGTTACAATGTACACTCAGTTGTATTCCTTATCACTCCCTATTTGAATACATACATACATGAATATATATGAGCCAGCTTGGATAAAAGCTAACTAGAGAGCAAAGTACTGGTTAAAAAGTTGCTTCGACCACCCTGGCTCTCATTTCCTATCTTTTTCATATCCCATGCATGTCTATGGGATACAACATTGGAAAGGATCCTAGTTCTTCTTTCCATTTTTGAGATTCCGTACAGCCATAACAAGTTGTTGTCTTTCACCTTCTACCTCGGCAAATTTCAGACTAATCTCTGAGTATCTATCTTCCATCTCTTTCAGCTCTTTTTCCATATTTTTGTTCCTGTCCTTTAGCATCGCTACTTCATCCATCAGTTTACTCGTATTGCACTCACCATTTTGATTATCATGGAAGCAAGTTTGTGATTCACTGTTAAAAGTTTCCCAAAAAAAAAAAAAAAAAAAGATGAAATTAAGTAAAAAACACATGCATCAATGAGATGCTAGTATAAATATATATACTCCTCCGGTCTTTAATATAGGACCCAATTCTTGAGTTGGTTTTGATTCTAAATATAAGACCCCTTTCTCATATTTATCAATTTTCTCTAAATTACCCCTATGAATACTCCCTCAACCATAATCAAGTAAAAGAGGGAGAGGGAGTATTAAGAAAGATGATTATGGTGTTTTAGGAAAAATGTGTCACTTTTCTTATAATTAACCAACTTACCTAACTTCCTTAATCTAATCAAATTAGTTAAATGGGTTTTATATTAAGGACCGGAGGAGTGTATATATATATATATATATATATTTGACATTCGGGACACAAGGTGTGCAAATTTTACTGCGTGGGTGATAATGGTAAAGGATTAACGGTAAGTTATACAAGGGGTACTAGGGATTCAGATAGAAATTTAGTTTTTACCTTCTGTTTGGTGCTCCACGAACTTCACCGCCTGCTGACTTGCCAGATGTTCCTTTTTCTTCAGACTTGCCATTAGGGGCGCTTGTAGCATTTGTTCCCTTTAAGAAAATAAAATCAATCTGAATTAATCTACTGAACAGATAAGGGTAGAGAAAAGTTAAAGAGACGTCAACCAGATAATTCCTTTCAACTCTAATTCCAGTTCTAGAGATCATCATTCTCTACCTGTTCATCTATAGTTGTATCAGTGTTTAAGAGGCCGAATAACTGATTTGAAAGCTTTTATCTGAATATGAGTTGCTGTATGTTTCAAGTTAATTTGGAGCTGATTTTCAACGCACTTTTTTTTTTTTTGGGCCAATGATTCTCAACGCACTTTGATTTAAAATTATGCTAGTTGTAACATGATTACACATAATATGATAGATAATATCACATAAATATAAGCAGAAAATTTATCTCTTCCAGTTGAATAATATTTCAGTTAAATGTAGCCTAATGCTTTTAGTTGTGGAAAGACTACAATGTGGTTATGATGCAGTCATGCAGATGATGTTTCATTTCCTTGTTTGCAGATTAGTAAAACAATGTAGTCCTGTAAAGTAGGACAGAATGACCGCAAAATAAGTGAGAAATGAAAAGCTAATGTTAACTTGGAAGAAGCCTTGATTCACTAGCTTAGAAAATAGTCTAAATAAAGTAGCAGCTGATAAATTTAGTCAAATACCGGTATCAGTTCTCAAGTACTGCCCAACCGATTCTAACTTGTTTTTGCAGTAAAGTTTCAAGAGTTCCCACCAAAAGTTTTTTCTTGCTTTGCAGTATAATGATTTAGATTTTATAAAATCTGACGACTATGGATACAATATAAGCTTGACTTTCTTCTTTAATGGGTAGCATGTACTCGTAAGAATAGCTCCATAATATAATCTGATTTCCTACCACACATTTCTCATTTTAGTTGTTCATTTAAAGTCCGCCAATTAAGTTGGAAAATTACCTTAAGTGTTTCTGATTTTGTCTTCTTGGTGGATGCCTTTGTGGAAGATGGCGCTGCAGCACACTCATCTTTGGAATCCAAATTCACATGTGCAGCCGGAACTCGTCCTTTGTTGCTTTTGATCTTCTTTTCCATAATGTTTAATTCTGCTTCCTTCTTCTTCATCTCTCCTTGTAGTTGAGATATCTTGTTCTTCATATTCTCTTTCTCTACCTGCTCATTGTGCATGTTATGTTTTAATTTGTCATGTTGCATCTTGAAGATTTGTAATTCTGAAAGCAAGGCATTAAGCGGGAACTCC